TATTTTATATTGATATGAATATTTGGGCTTAATATTTTATTGAAGACCCTATCATAATTTTCTTCTACAAAGTTATAAATTAGTTTTATACTTATGACCATAGATTAAAAATTCTCCTTTATTGATTTATTATCATAACTTTTTTATCAGAATACAATTGACAAAACATTAAAAACTTATCAATTTTGATAAGTAATATGTAATTTAAAAAGTAAAATTTTATTAGAAACAAACCTTTTAATAATAATACTGGCCTGTTGTAAAAAGGAATTTATCATTGAATTAATATTATTTATGCATAACATAAAACAGGGTCTAGCAGCAATTCTGTACCTATCTGTAGTGGTTAATTTTATGTGTAAGCTTGGCTAGGCTATGGCACTAAGGTGTTTGGTGAAACACCAATGTAGATATTGCCATGAAGGTATTTTTTAGATGTGATTAACATTTACATCAGTCAACTGTAAGTAAAACTAAATACTTTTCACAATGTGGTTGGGTCTTATCCAATCCGTTGAAGGCCTTAAAAAGAGACTGAAGTTTCCTAAAGAAGAAACAAATTGGTCTGAAGGTGTAATATAGAAATCCTGCCTGTGTTTCCAGTTTGCTGGCTTCTCCTGCAGATTTTGGACTAAAGACTGAAACATCAAATTTTACCAGAATCTCTAGGCTCCTGGCTTGATTTTGAATTTTTCAGCCCTCACAATAATCACATGAGCCAATTTAAATATTACATATATTCATGATAGATGAAGATAGATAGACTAACCAAGACACTATCAAAAATTAAAATTAATATAATTCCTTCTCCCTGACCTCAGTGATAGAGGGATTAAAAGTATTTTTCCATCCCTATTTTAAGCAGTACCGAGATCAGATATAAGTACTTGCTTTTGAAATTAAGACAACGACTCAACTAAAATAGCTTACTTATAAAGACTAACAAGGTTATTAATCAAAACTTTAACACTCTTACCTCACTGTTCCCATCACTCTACAGTTCTGCTCAATCTTAACCAGTTCATCACCTGGAAAGACCCATCTTAAAATTACTGAGCCCATACCCTAAATCTTAAAAAAAATCTTGCTTTATTTGCTAGATTAGCAGTTTCTCTGTTAGTCATTTGGGAATGTAAGATTGACATCTTTATTGTATTTTTACAGATATTAATGCTGATAAATATTTCCCAGAAACTAACAATATTGCTCAATTTCTAAAACTCAATTGGAGAAAATAAACTAAACCAGAAGTTATTTCTTCAAAAAAGATACAATTAACAAATCTTTGGCAATATTGATCAGGTGTGTGTGGAGGACATAGAGAGTAAGTAAGAATAAGCAATATTAAGATTGCAGATCACAATTTAATTGCAAAAATGGGAACTATAAAGATAATAAGATGAAAAGAATGATAGTATGCCAATATATTTGAAACAGATGGAAATGAAGAAATTCACAGAAAAGAAATCAACTAGTTATGGCAGAGACTACAAATTCTCCTACAATATCTGGTATCCTTTTCTTCTATCTTACTAGAACCGTTGATTTTTAGGTGAGTACATAGCCAAATGGAATACAAAACACGCTGTTCAGCACCCCTTGCAGCACTGTAACCTGATGAGACTAAATCTTAGCCAATTAAATATTAAGTGTAAATGGTGGTCCTGCTCCAAGGAAGTATCCATCCACAAAGAGAGATGTGTTCCCTTCTCTCTCCTTTGTTCCTTTTGCTTAGATAATTTCCTGAACCGCAAGATGGAACCCACATATTAAGAATGGAAAAACAACATGATGGAAAAAATTTAAGTTACTGGTCATTGTGGAAGGGACTTGATGTGTCTGTGAGAGAAAGAAAGAAACTGTTATCTTGTTTAAGCCATAGTCACTTAGAGTCTATGGTAATCTGCATCTAAACTTAATTATACAAAAAAAATTGATGAATTGGATTTCATCAAAATTTAAAACTTCTTATCAAAACACCATTAAAAAATAAATGGGAAAGACTTAGACCAAAAGAAAATAATTTGCAACATATCCATCTGACAAAAGGTTTTTTATCCAGAATATATAAATAACATCTACAAGTCAATAATAATTTTTAAAACAACCCAGTTTAAAAAGGGGCAACAGATTTTAAAAAGACACTTCAAAAAAGAAAATATCTGAATGGCCATAAGAATACTAAAGCGTGCTCAATATTACTATGTATCAGGGAATATCAAAGTAAAATACAGTGAGATTTCACCGCAGAACCACTAAAATAGCTAAAAACAAACAAACTAACTAACAAACAAAAACTAATAACCAGAAATGTTGGCAAGGATGTGATAACAGGACCTCCCATACATTGCTACTGTGTCAATGATCAGCAGTTTCTTATCAGCATACACCTACCCAATGACCCAATGATTCTACTCTCAGGTATTCATCCAAGAGAAATAAAAAGATGTCCATGAATCTCTTTGTATAATAATGTTCATAGCAGTCATTCATAATAACTAAAAGTTACAAGTAGTCCATCAACAAGCAAGTGGATTAACCCTATGTGTCACCATACACCAAAATTAACTCGAAATGGATCAAAGACCTAAATATAAAACCTGAAACAATAAATTGCAGGGAAGAAAGCATAGGTACTAAACTCATGGACCTTGGATTTAGAGAGGATTTTATGAATTTAACCTCAAGAGCAAGGGAAGTAAAAGAAAAAAGTAAATGAAAAGAACTATATCAAACTAAAAAGCTTCTGCGCAGCAAAAGAAACCATCGACAAAACAAAGAGGCAATCAACTGAATGGGAGAAGATATTCGCAAACAACACCTCTGATAAGGAGCTGATACCCAAAATGCACAAAGAACTTACACAGCTCAACAACCAAAAACCAAACAATCCAATTAAAAAATGGACAGAGGATCTGAACAGACACTTCTCTTAAGAAGACATACAAACAGCCAACAAATTTATAGAAAGATGCTCAACTTCACTAGCTGTTAGGGAAATGCAAACCAAAACCACAATGAGGTCTATAAGGAGCTAATACCCAAAATGCACAAAGAACTTACACAACTCATCAACCAAAAACCAAACAATCCAATTAAAAAATGGACAGAGGATCTGAACAGACACTTCTCTTAAGAAGACATACAAACAGCCAACAAATTTATAGAAAGATGCTCAACTTCACTAGCTGTTAGGGAAATGCAAACCAAAACCACAATGAGGTACCAATTCACAACCATTAGAATGGCTAGTATCAACAAGAAAAGTAATAATAAGTGTTGGAGAGGCTGTGGGGGAAAAGGAACCCTCATACAGTGAGGGTGGGAATGTGAATTGGTGCAGCCACTATGGAAAACAATACGAAGTTTCCTCAAAAAATTAAGAATAGAATTACCATATGACCCAGCAATCACTCTTCTGGGTATCTACCTAAAAATTTGAAAACATTTATCCATAAAGATACATGCACTCTAATGTTCATTGTAGCATTATTCACAGTAGCCGAGACATAGAAAAAAACAGAGTGTCCTTGATAGACGTCTAGATAAAGAAAATTTGGTACATATATACAATGGAATATTACTTAGCCATAAGAAGAGATGAAATACTGCCATTTGCAACAACACGGGTAGATCTTGAGAAAATCATGCTAAGGGAAATAAGTCAGACAGAAAAAGTTAAGGACCATATGATTTCACTCATATGTGGGATATAAAACTTAAAGCAACAAACAAGGGAAAGGGGGCAGGGAGAAAGGTAGATAAGGATAAAAAAGGGTCAAAAATATAGTGACAGGAGATTTGACTTTGGGTGGTGAACATACAATGCAGTACACATAGGATGTATTTTTGAATTGTACACTTGAAATTGTACACTATATAATTTTATTAACCAATGTCACCTTGATAAATTTAATAAAAATGAATAAATAAAATATGCCTTGATTATAAACAAATAAGTGATTCCACTATTACCTCAGTTTTTTAGGGGTCCAGAAAGAAATCAGTTGATAATCGGTTAGCCCAGAATGGGAACATAGGATGTATTTTTGAATTGTACACTTGCAATTGTACACTATATAATTTTATTAACCAACGTCACCTTGATAAATTTAATAAAAATGAATAAATAAAATATGCCTTGATTATAAACAAATAAGTGATTCCACTATTACCTCAGTTTTTTAGGGGTCCAGAAAGAAATCAGTTGATAATCGGTTAGCCCAGAATGGGAAATTTTCCACTTCTCACTAACTTTCCTTTCCTAAGGATATTTACCTGTCTCTACACTACATTAGAATCTCCTTGATCATTGCAAGAGCCCATTCTTGAGGTATGAGTCAGAAAGAGACAAAAAATAAAGAGACAAATATTGAAATCCTAGAGTTTTATTTTTAAACATCGGTCAAAGCCACAGTAAAACATGACAGGCTGTTCGTATACAAAAAGATTCTCTATAAAGAAAATCCCAAAGAATCACAAAAATAAAACAAAAACAAATTCGTGAAACTGATAAGCAGTTATAGCAAGTTTGCAGGATACATGGTTAATATACGAAAATTGATTTATTTTAGATCTATCTTTGCAAATCCTGTAAATATGTAATTATTTCAAAATAAAAATTCTTAAATGGAAAAATTAATCTACTCTCATTAACTACAAATATCCATAATCTTGCTTAGCTTTGATAAATTAAATGCTGATAGTTCACCAAATGACGTCAAGAATTGATGCTGCACTTTACGAGATTTATTGATAGGACATAAGCCAAGAAATTCACAAAAACATCTGAAAAATGCGATTATTTATTTTAACATTAACTTATACTGAAACATACACACACTGACCCACCAGTAGCCCCATGTCTCAAAGAAAATGACTACGATCATGCTGGTATATTTTCATCCAGTACTGTGTGTGTGCTAAAGACAGGTGTTTCTCAAACTTTAGTGTGCATAATGATTAGAGAAGTTAAAACACAACCACTGCGCTCTACTCACAGAGTTTCTGATTCAACGGGTCTAGGCAGAGTCCAATAATTTGAATTTCTAAGAAGTTTCCAGGTAATGCTGATACTCTCAATACAGAGGCTACACTTTTTGAAGAATTGAGAAACACCTTAATTTTACTTTCCTTTTTTTTACACTCCATAACCTATATTATGAAAATCTTTATTTTACTCTTCAAAAAATGTAATTTTAGTTGGATTTACATATTTCCAATATATTTGTGTCCTATAATTTATTTAAAAATTTTTATATTTTGTTGAGGCTCAGAGGGGACCAAAATATCTCCTCTTTTTCTTGAGTAAGTTCTAAATTAATTGAGAAAATAAAACTAAATAGTAAGAGACACAAGAGACCAAAAATTACCTTCGCTAAAGAAAAAAAAAACACCTGATATTAGAAAATGCACCTAATATCGATGGACAAGTGAATTTCTAAATACTAAATCCAAGAACCAGGCAGACCTATCCAGACCCATCACTTGAGCCTTTCACTACTAGAGATTCCCACATGGGATATGCCCAAGGGCAACTGAGAGCAAAGTTCTTTGTGGGCTGTTGACTCCAGAGAGAAGTCTGTGACTATCTCCACAATGGATAGGAAACAGCAATCTTTTATGACACTCCTATTCCCACCTTCATTAGGCTATTCCACAAAGCACCAAATTTCAGGCCTCTTCCTGTCAAGGTCCATGTGGGACAACTGGTAAACCACAGACTTCGCTCCCAGAAAACTCATGTTCCCAAACTCATGCCCAATTAATAACTTAATTTTTTTATTGATAACTTTTATTTTTTTATTTTTTTATTAATAACTTTTATTTTTTTAAGTTCTGAAATAATTGAGAAAGAATATGAAAAAATAAGGAAGACTGTAGCTTAAGATATCATCTTTATAAATCACTGGTATAATATAAAGTTAGCTTATGGGTGTGGGTGAGTGGACGATTTAATGATGAACTCCAGTATTTGGTTAATTTATCTGCCGTTACAGGCCGTGATAGCCTACTCCCACAGAATCAGAGATTTCACTGCTCAACTTACCCCACAGCTGAAAGCAATTGAGAATACATTTTTCTCTGTCAGTTGCCAATTCTTTAGATAGATGAGACGTTTCAGGACACAAACTCCTTTCCTGATGCCAAATTTATACCATGGAAGTATGATGAGGAGTAAGTGAAGGGGTAGAGAGAGGCCAAGGATATTATTCTAGTAATAGCAAAAGCCCCTTTCACAAGAAAGTAAACCTCAAGAGTTGGGAAAAATCCAGTCCTCAAAACTACCACCACCATCTCTCCCCACCCCAATATTGTTAAGCACTTAAGACGTAGCTAGTGGTCTATAGTTGTAAATAAGTTATAATGAATATTCGTAAGCTCAACTCGTAAACAATAACATGAATGCAGTCACTTTAAAATGGAGCCGGAGGAACTGACAGGGTAGACAGGTAAATATCAGCCAGAGGGAGAGGGACAATAAAGGGTTAACAAGGCCCCAAGACCGGCTCAGCAGAACATACCCAACAAAGTACCTGGCGGGGCCTGGTGCCTCCTCACTTCCTTGTGCTCCCCCTTGCTCTCCCTTGCTCTCCCTTGGTCAGTTAACTGCAGATGACCATTATATGAACTTACTTTGGAGGCCGAGTGACTGGTTTGGGCAAAATTAGTTAAGTGAGCACGCATCTACCCTCAAAACCCCCACTGCGCAGGAGTATGACTTCAGATCTACGGGCACACACTGCACATGCCCGGGCCAGAAGGAAGCGGTCCAAAGTGGAGCTGGGAATTCACACCATTCAAGGTAGGAGGGACAGAAGGAGAACAAAGAAATTCTGTGGCCCATGAAAAGTCAGACACCCAATTTCTCAGAGCACTCAGTTTTTATTGGGCTGCAGGCCTGGACTTTCTTTCAAGTGTACCTTACTTTGCCTGCTTTACTTAATATAATTGCTTCTGTCTGCTACTTTCCTTCCACTGTCTTCCTTCTTCGAGTGTGGGACCTCCAAGCAGATCTTTTGTGGGGATCCAAGGACGGAGCCCCATACTCTTATACAATGCAGACACCTAAGTGCAAGATCTACCTTGCACGTCTTATGCCTCAAAACTTTGAAATGTTAAAACAGGGCAAAATAACCTTTGGACTGGGCCTAAGCGGCCTTGCATCACAAAACTTGCAAAAATAACAAAAAAGTAGTTATGATTACCGGACTAATGACTATTGGATAGAAAATTAAAAACTATGTTTAGAGTTAGCGTTATTATGTTATCTGCACCAATAGAATTGCCTTCCTTCTATTCATATAATTGTTCCCCTTTCCTTTCTCATAAATATCTATTACCTTGTCTCATAATGGGAACATTTTTTGGGCTTCTGCATGAATCAATGATTCCATTCATTAGGATAAAATTACTGGAACCCAGGGTGGCCCCGAAGGAAGAGCATATCCATTGGCAAAGCAGAAGGCTTGTCAGAATAAGCAGGAGAAATTTCTCCCTCTCCCAGTTGTATTACAAAAACCTTTACCCCTCCCCCACCTCCTCATTGGCCCCTTGCCAATGCTAAAGCCCTCCTAGTCATGATTTAAGATTTCGCCCCACCAAATCCCACTCTGAGAAATTAAAAGGGAGAAGCAATGAAAGATCACAATTACATACTTTTCCAGAAGGAAAATCTGATAGCATGAAGATCTTTCGCTCTAGAAAGATAATTTAGTCATTCTTTCCATAACTACGTATTGACTATGCGTCTGGCTGGCATTATGTTGACAATAATATGATGAGCAAAATCAGACCAATCCCGGCTCTCTGGAGCTCATGGGAAGAACATAAATGTATGAGAGCACAAAGCAAGAGGTGAGGACAACGTGCAAAGGCCATGCAGTAGGAAGGAGCACCACCTTCTGTCCATCTCTTGATATTGCATATTCACAGTAAATAATTCTTAGTGATAAATGTCTACATTAAGAAAAAAAAGAAAGAGCTCAAATATACAATCTAACTCTATACCTCAAGTAACTAGAAAAAGAAGAACAAACTAAGATCAAAGTTATAAAATGGAAATAAATAATTATCAGAACATAAATAAATAGGAGACTGTAAAGACAAGATCAATGAAGCCAAGAGTTGGTTTTCTGAAAAGATAAACAAAATTGACACACCTTTAGCTAGACTCATCAGAAAAAAAAGAGAAGACTCACATAAATAAAATCAGAAATGAAAGAAGAGACGTTACAGCTGATACCACAGAAATACAAAGGATCATGAGACTGCTATGAACAAATGGGATAACAAGACAGACACATACAAAAGGATGAGACTGGATCACTTTCTTACACCATATACAAGAATAAATTCAAATTAAATTAAAAACTTAAATGTAAGAACTGAAACCATAAAATTCCCAGAAGAAAAATAGGCAGTAAACAATTTGACATTGCTCTTAGTAATTTTCTTGTGGATATGTCTCCTCAAGCAAGGGAAACAGAAGAAAAAATAAATAAATGAGACTACATCAAACTAAAGAGTTACGGCAAAGGAAATCATTAACAAAATGAAAAGACAATCTACTGAGAGACAATATTCACGAATGATACAACCGATAAACAGTTAATATCCAAATTATATAATGAACTCATATAATTTAACACACAAACACAAAAAACAATCTGATTAAAAATAGGCAGAGGATTTGAATAGATATTTCTCCAAAGAGGACACACAGATGGCCAATAGACATATGAAAAGATGCTCAGCATCACTAATTGTCAGGGAAATGCAAATCAAAACCATAATGAGATATCACCTCACATCTGTCAGAATGGCTATCATTAATAAATCAACAAAAAAAAAGTATTATGGTGAAAATGGAACCCTCGTGCACTGTTTTTGAGATTGTAAATTGGTACAACCACTATGGAAAGCAGTATGGAGGTTCCCCTCAAAATTAACAATTGTACTACCATACGACCCAGCAATTCCACTCTGGGAATTTATCTGAAGAAATCCAAATCACTAATTTGAAAAGACGTATGCACTCTTATGTTCACTGCAGCATTACTTACAATAGCCAAAATATGGAAGCAACCTAAGTGTCCGTCGATAAATGAATGGGAAAAGAAGATGTGGTACATGTATACAATGGAATATTAGCTATAAAAAAGAATGAAATCTTGCCATTTATAACAACATGGATGAAGATAGAGGGAATTATGCTAAGTGAAATAACTCAGACCAAGAAAGACAAATATCATATGATTTTGCTTACATGAGAAATCCAAAAAGCAAAATAAACAAACAAACAAAATAGAAACAGACTCATAGATACAGAGAACATTTTGATGGTTGCTAGACAGGAGCGGGGCTGGGAAAATGGGTGCAAAGGGGAAAGGATTAAGATGTACAAATTACCAGTTATAAAAACAGTCATGGGGGGTGTAAGGTACAGCCTAGGGAATACAGTCAATAATATCGTAATAACTATGTATGGTGTCAGATGGGTACTAGACATATCAGGGTGATCACTTTTTGTAAGATATATGAATGTCTAATAACTATGTTGTACATCCGAAACTAATATAATATTATATGTCAACCATAATTGAAAATAAAATATTTAAAAAATAAAACACTGTTCGACTTAAAAAAAAAGAGTGAAATAGACTTTTTTCTTACACCATACCCCAAAATCAACTCAAAATGTATTAACCACTTAAAGGTAAGATCGAAAACAATACAACATAAGAGAAAAGCCCCTTGACATTTGTCATTTTTAATCTGACACCAAAACCATAGGCAACAAAATCAAAAATAAACAAATGGAACCACATCAAACTAAACAGTTTCTGCACAGCAAATGAAACTCTCAACAATATGAAAAGGCAATTTATGTAATGGGGGAAAATATTTGCAAAAAATATTTAGAATAAAGAGTTAATATCCAAAATATATAAAGAACTCTTATAACTCAATAGCAAAATCGTCATCATCATCATCATCATCATCATCATCCAATTAAAAATGGACAAAGGATCTGAATACACGTTTTCCAAAGAAAACAAATAAATGGCCATTGGGTACCTAAAAAAGATCTTCACCATCACTAGTCATCAGAGAAATGCAAATCCAAACCACCATGAGATATTATTTCA